CTGAAGAAGCCAAGGCACATGCAATGTGTCATCAGGGGCGCAGCAAGAGTTTGCGACGGGGAAGGGGACTACCATAATTTGAGACGGGATGATGATGGCGACCATGGTTCGCGACGGGGACATTTTTTATACGCGCAACTCCCATCCCCATTGGCAGTACGGACACACTGCGGACAGACCAACAGAGCCTGCAAACGCCAATAGATACAGTACATATAAGATCAATGAGCTATCGATGTTAGTTTGCCTGGCGCCTTAAGCACTTGGTTCATCTGCGCACTGTACATATTCGCTCGGCTATCCGCTGGTCGTGTTTCTAGAGTACGGCTGTTGGGACCTACATGGTAGTGTGGTGGGGTGAGGGGCTTGGACCCACATGGTCAGTCAGGTCAGCCAGGTCAGTCAGGTCAGTCAGGCCATTCAGGCCAGTCAGGCCGGTCAGGCCAGTTAGGTCAGTCAGTCGGTCTGTCGGCCTGTCGGTCTGTCGGTCAGTCAGTTCATTTAGTGGGCTGGTTGTCCTTCGACATTACAAAGTAATAACGAGCCAACCTACAAAATAAGTTGGACCTCATTCCGTAGTGGTATCATTTTTTGCTGTCCTGGGCGATATACTTCCCCTTGCTGGCTAATGTCTACATTTAAATCCGGAGGTGTTAATTCTCCGACAATGGTGAAGGAACGCAATTCAGTGCTTTAAGACACATAGGGTACAGCGCTTTGGGCGAAACTGAAACTTGGCAGCAATATCGCATCAAAAAGTGTAAGGGGTATTAAAGGAGTGTCCCACCTTTGCAAAAACGTGCCCAAGTGAAACATCAGGACCAGTTCCGTGTAATAATAGTATTGGGTAGTGTCACTGCAGCATCATGAAGACAGAATGAGAATATTAATTTTCATCATTTTCGAGCCCAAATTACGCTGTCAACGTTATGTAACAGCACTTTGTGTGCTTCTTTCCCGCAGTCGGGACAGCCGTCGTCATGACGACGGGAGAATCTGCTGGGGGCCGCTGTCAGCTGTTACTGAATCATGTCAGTACAAACGAACGTTCGGGATTGGCACAGCGGGTGGCAAGGGCCATTTACCGAAAAGCACATCGGTGGAAGTTTGAACCAGTGCGTCATTATAGAACACGTAATACTGCGCTTCCCAAAGCCAAACTGCACTTCGAAAACACCCGCCGGAGCAAATGGCATAAGAAAGAAATCAAGGCAATAGTTAAAGGTTTCGTTGAATTCGCACGGTAATCGTCTCATGTTCGCATATCTTTTGTCTAACAGAGTGGTTCAACCTTTCGTAGCATGTATTACACAAATATTTTCGCACATAAGTGTGCTGCAAACATTACAAAGCACATACGTTGGAAAAACAATGCAAATAAAATGCATTTTTTTATAGTGGTGAGCAGGGAGATGAGAGAGACTTCTGATAGATTTCTTCAGCAGGAGATTTCTCCCGCAGGAGTGGCCACTTCAAATCAAAATTCTAAGATGATCAGAAGGATTTAGAGAAAACTGGTAGTACTGATTAAATTGTACTCGTCTGATCTAGCAATAAGTCAAAAGTACAAGAAGGTGGCATTTTCCCTCTAAAAACAACACCATTGTTTCCTTTGATGCATAGTGTTCGTATCTGGCTGGTCAAAGAAGGCCATTTGGCCGTTGGCTTGATAGTATCAGCCTAGTGGCCGACAGTTGTGGAGTTGATAGGTCCTCTCTTGGGATTTGAAAAAGGCTCGAGGCAAAATGGGACCGTTGAGCCATCATTGGAATACTGGGATGTCGGATTTACAGAGCTAACAATAAATCTTTTAAGCTTGGAATCCACCATATGCGTCGAAGCAAGCATTTTGTTTTCAACATCATTTCTTGTTTTGTTGCCGAACTGGACCCATCATCTAAATTAACGATCCCGCACCAAAAAGTGTGTTATTTTACAGAATGATATAATGAGACATTACAACGAAGAAATTCAGGTCACGACCAAAACAATATAAGGTGCCGAGTCCACTGCGGGTAGCAGACCAAATGCTGTTTCGCCTAAAAGAGTCTTGACGAGACCAATACACCAGTGGCGTTACTCCTCCTTTGCAACCCCCCCCCCCAAAAAAAAAGAGGTTGCGAGGCCAAGTTACTGTGCTGCGCCCCCACTGGCGACACCATCCGTGGGGAAGGCTTCACCATGCCAAACGCTACTTTATTCTGACCAATAATTTAGAAAATGAATTTAGATCAATCAAAATCATTCAGTAGTTCCTTCATACACCACCTTCGTTCAACAAACACCAGTCTTTTTAACAAAGTCCAGTGGGCCCGATGAGACAGCTAAATCGCTCTTGAACGTGGCTAGCATTGCATTGCACCTCTGTTATTCCAACTGAGACTGTGGCCAGATACTTTGGGGCATGCTTTGACCGCCGGCTTACATATAATCTTACACCTCAAATGTTACGCGATCACTGCTTTTAAATCTCTCAACATTCCAAAGTGTGTATCCCGTACATCATATGGGGCCGACAAAAGCATGCTCATAGTTTTGAACCGTTCACTCGTCCGCTTCAAGCCGCATTCTGCATATTATTTCTACAATAACCTGTCTGAATCCGGCAAGCTTTGTCTTGATACCGTTCATCATACCACTCTTGTTGTTATTACTGGGGTGTCCAGTACATCACTCGCTGTTGGCCTAATAGCAGGGTCACATATGCCACCACTGTCGGCGGAGAGTAAAGTTCTCGGCATGTGTTATGGTTTTGATTTGCGTTAGTTTCCGTCGCATCCGACACGTCAGTATTTTTCCGGCACACTGTGCTGTGAGTTTCCTTCGTGGTGGATCGCGACAGCACGCTCTGTTCAAAGAAGTTTGCCAAATCTGAGGAGACAGATATTTTAGGATAAAATTGCATATTTTTCACTGTTCATCCCCCACACTTAGCTTTGAAAACCAAGCCTCTGCTTGAAATGCAATCATTTCATTGCTGCTTGGTAGCATTGAAATGACAACTACATCTAGTTCAACATTTTCCCTGTATTATCCTGGCTGCTGGAGACTGATACGATAGCCAATGCTGCAGGCTATTGGGGGGGGGGGGGGGCAATGAGAGATGAGGAGTAGGATGGTGTAGGGAACGTGGGCAATGAGGAGGTGGTTGAAGAGTTGCCATATCCATTGCCATATTCCCCAGTTTGCCAAGTTTCCATTTGAATCAGGCCGAGAGCTTTACTTCAAACAGAGGGTAGTTTTGTGGGATTTTGGTCCCACTTTCATATGAGTTCAGTACAAAATTTACATTTGGCTCTCTCTGAAAGCAGTTTTGGCCATTTCCTGACGACAGCACCCCTATCGTAACAAGGAAAGCTTTGAAAGGTAGTCACTCTGCAGTCCTTCTTAATATGCATAATTGTTTTGCGCCAGTTAGCATGACATTTGCATGGAGGCAAGTGCAATAAATTTCGCTCCTGTTTTTGCTAACACCACCGGCTCTGCGATGAAGGCTAGGGTTAATGTGTTGTTATGTTGTTCAGAGAGATCTGGCCGGCTGATGTAGCGCGATTAACAAGCTTCAGTGCAATTTCCTAGTTTGTGCAGCTGTTGTGAGTCAAATTTTTGTATTAGCATCATGAAGACCTGGTTTAATGACAGATAACTGGGACAGCTGGGGTCGTTAGAGTGATTCAGTCATCTTCAAAATCCCCTGGAAACTTGGGGCGCTCTTGACTGCTCAGGGCCCTTTTGGCCACTGAGAGGCCCTTTCCATCGCCCAAGAGTCCTCCTGCTTGCTCGATGGACTCGTTGACCGGTCAGAGGCACTCTGTTGACTCCGGGGTTCAGTAAATACCCACGGCTGAATGCCAACTTAGTGCCCCTCTTGCCGCTCAGGGACCTGCTCTAACGGACCTATCTTGCCAGTCAGGGACCATTTGGGCCCCAAGCAATTTTTAAGCCAACAACATTTGTTCTGGCTGCTTTGGGTCCCCACTGAACTTGCCGTCAAAACCATGTAGCCACGACTGAGGTCGTGGCTAGAGATACGTTGTGATATGGGGGATAGAAGGGGCGTCCATTTTCCCTGACCCCTGCAACGCAAATCTGGGGTTTTGTGGAGGTGTACACAGGGCTTTTTTTGCTGCGTGCAGCTTGAAGAAAAATGCCCGTGCTGAATGAGTACAGCTCATCCTCTGTCTACTCACTGGGACTCATTTGGCCAGCCCAGAGCCCCTGTTACAAATAAGTGGATCCCAACTGGTCACTGTAGGCGCTCGGGCCCGCTTTAGGGGCTTAACAGCTACTTTGGGCCCGTCTGTCATTTACAGGTCCCCTGAACACATAAAATAACCTAGGCGTTACCCCGGCCACCTTGGACCGTTTAAACATGGTGGTTAAGATGCGCGCCAGGAAAACCAGACGCACAGGGCTCGATCTCCCCGGTGCCCGCCCTTCCTGCCAGGGTGACGCCATTTGAGCAGGTGACGTCATATGGCCTCAGAAGCTCCGTGTGACGTAAAGCCCCATCGGCAACATCCGTTCACGGGCCCGCACTAGGCCGCTCGCCGTTCCGAGTACTCAGAACCTCTCTGGCGCTCACGAGCCGTTTAACCTGATCCGTGCCCTTCTAACTGCCGAGGGACGCTCTGGCTACGGAGGAGTCTCTTGTGGGTGGGGTTCCCTCTCTGACAGCTTAGGGACTTAACTGGCTGCCCAGAAACATTTTCATCCCCGCACCGGACTTCACGCGCTGACGACCGGCAGGTTGGCGCGAATGAAAATGGCGCGAACGATCAGCTGATCGGCCAAGGCAACCGATGGCCCGAACCGCCGTTAAACCAGATTGCAGCGAACCCAACATCGCAATGAGACCAAGGGAGATCTAAACACGCTACAGGTATATGTAATATGAATGTGCTAACAAAGCTTTGAAGATGCGCAGGTCGTGTCATCGTTTTGCTAAATCTTTAGTAGTGGCGGCAGGTACACCGTGTGCTCAGGGCAAGGGCAGCAGA